TAAATTTTCGAGCCATGTGTTCACGGATCTGAATATTTAATTAAACGATCAAATTGTTCACTGATCTGGATTTGAACCCTACGATCTAGTCGTTTACGGATCGATTTGTCGAGAATTGTATTTATTTAAACATCTTGTGCCCCCAGAAAATCAATAATGTTGTATTACCATAATTCAATAATATTCCTTTTCAAGGGTTGAATGCTTCAAGAAAATATTAGAATTCAAATGCACAATTGTCACAGAGGGTCGTCTTGATACCAAGTTTCCGACTCGTAAGTGATTAATGATTTGGTCAAATAGGAGGATATTGTTTACAAAATAATGGATCAGATTGTTTTGAGCAAAATATAATATGAAATAATGATTGTTTCTTTTTGGGAGTGACTGCTTGGCAGTGGCTTCATATGTAAGTATTTGGACATAGTGCGCTTTGTCGCACATGCGAACACATACATGTTACCCATTTTTTCAAAAATAACAAGAACGGAAAATTGTTTGCGATGAATAACCTAATTTCATGCGGAGATCAAAATATCATATACCCAATTTCTTGTAAAAAATGCGATGTACAATATGTTGGCGAGACTCAAAATGCGCTTCGAACGCGACTCAATGGCCATCGCTATGATATAGTGCTTGGCAAGGATAGACCAATTGCGAATCACTTCAATCTTCCCGATCATTCCATTGATGACCTTCTCATCATGCCTATAGAAACAGTTTCTACATCACCTAGCATGAAACCTAAGCTTAGACGACGTCTACAACGCGAAAGTTATTGGATCGATCAACTGCAGACTTTGAGACCGAATGGACTCAACATTCAACATGATAACCAGATAATACCCTTTATAACGACATTTGATTCTACAGCTACCAAAGCCTCCATAATAGTCAAACGCCATTACTCGGAACTTCAGAACAAATTTCCCCATGTATACACAAAACGTTTGGTTGTAGCTTACAAAAGAAATCAAAATCTTAGCAATTTCCTCTTTCACGGTAGACTTGAACCATTGAACAATGTCTATTCATCCTAGGAGCATAGATTTCTTAATTTTGATGTATCATGTTCTATCAATAAATTAATCGATTTTTAAGTTAGATTTCAGGGAATACTTATTTCAGGACTGGTGCCATGGCTATATACAGTATATTATATAACATGCAGTGTATTTTTGTGTGTGTGTCTTTTCAACTAAAATCATACTAATGACTAACTAATTTTCACATAATTAATAGACCTATCTATTGCTCTGTGACCTAGGCCAGTGCTTTCATTGAGACTCGTCTCAATACACCCTAACACTACCAATGCCTTATATTGAATAGTAACTTGTTACTTTTCAATCACCCTAATCACTAAATAAAGAATACACAGTAAAGAACCCTTTTTCTGTTATTTTGTGGAATTATTCAACAGATGCTGATGTCACTCGTTAAAAAAATGCCTGTAGGCACCTATCATCACTCGACATTTCATACAATCTTTCTTACAACTTGTTTTGGGTAGATGATTTGATACGGACCGGGAATGGTTTGATCGACTAACATAACTGTTGTAAATGACAATATCTACAATTTCTAAAAATGAATATCTATTATCCCTATTATTCAATAATTGTAGCCTTACATCGTCAATACATCGTATCTTTCTACTAGGTCGTAAATTATACAAGTGTTAAAATCTATCAAAGAAATAATATTCACTGGTTGTTTCGATAGATAACACTGTCACTCACATATATAACTGAGTAGTGAAATGATAGTGAACTATTAAATACAATTAGTTTTCAAGTATACGTAGCTCTTCCTTTTTTTCTCTAATTAAGTCCTTCAAAGTATTAGATCATGAGATATTGGTTGTTATACGTTAAAAGTTTGAGTATCGATCAAATGTTTTTTCTTTTTTTTTGACTGAAATCGATTTGGGGGGACCGAGGGAGATTCGATTTAATTATGTTTCCTGCATTTTGGCGAAAAACTAGAGACGAAGAACGGAAAAAATCGGGTTTTATTTATTTTTGTTAAATTCGGCATGAGGCATTTACTTCATTTGCCTTGATGTAGTTACGACTCGGGAATAGTTGAGTTTTTGAGCTCTCTGTATTTTTTATACGGGCTTATTCACATGATTCATATTGGAAAGAGAAACTCTTATTATTGTATATATTTAAAATTACGCAACACTATTTGAATTATAATATCGAAGTCACTTGTGAAACCTTTTCACGGACTTATGGTTAAAGGGATTGTAAAGAGGTTTTCTAAAAAAAAATTGTGTATCGGGGACACTGATAGCATCAATTCTATTTTCAGGCAGATGTCTGTGGTTCCTGCATTAGCACACTAAAACTAAACGCTAGATGATGTTACTAATCGCAAAGGGCCTTATGTGATGAAGCAGATTTCGCAATTAGTGACGTCATCAAACACCTATTCTTTCATGGAATTGCAAGAACCGCAGATGTCTGACTGAGAATTGGAATGATGCTAATTTGTGCTATCAGTGTCATATAATTTAGAAATTAGTTTTTTAGAAAACCTCTATACTACCCCTTTAAAGAACATGAGTCACTTATGGTAAAACCTAGTTTTTGAATTGTATAAATTACATTTAATACAAACAATGAGTAGACAGGGTTTGCACATTTCAAAGACGATATGACGTTTGCATGAAATATGATACTTGTGCAAATTAGAACATACAAACACTTATTCAAATACGTTTATTATACCCGCATTTCACCCATGCGGTATTGTTGGGTTTTTTTTCGCTGTCTGCAAAGCGTTTCTGTGGATACTTGCGAATCGTGTCGATCGTTCGAAAAATTACAGTGATTCGACACCCAAAGCGAATGCACCAGTCCTTATCGGAAAAATGCAACCGATCGACGAAAAAACTGATCGGGTAAGCTATTACACGGAACAAAATAATGCTTGGTGAAATACGGGTATGACAAATAGAGCAGCGTGATAGCGTCGAATGTTGCAATATGGGCTGCCACAAAGGCAAAGAATAAGCAACATTAATTTTTTCTGGTAATCCACAGCAATTGTCTTCCCATTCTTCTTTATTAGGATTCTCCTCTTGGAATCTGGAGCAGTATTAGTGCTGGTTGGATTTTGGTTGAATTATTAACATCACCCGTAACTGTTTCTTCCTGTTATGTATGCTTTCAATAGGGCATCAACCAAATTCTAGCACAACAATAAACAATAAAGCTAGTTATTAACGTTAGGATTAAGGAGTAACCCTCCCTTGATAAGAATATTAGTTGAGGTGATTTTGATGTTGCATTTTCTTGTTTGTTTAACTGACTGTAACACTATCGCGTAGTTGAGATGACGTGTTCGTCCATCAGGTTTCCTTAGAGAAAATGTCTTTTGTTATAATCACGATTCAACGTTGAAGAACGAGCTAACTTCGTGCAGCAACATGTTTATAAATTCTGGTTTTTGGTTAGGCTGTGAGAGATTTCAATCTGGCAATGAAGGTGAAACGTTTCGAAATTATACCACCAATTTACAAGCATAGCCAGTCTGCAAGTCGTCAAATTTCAAACAAGTTATTACATAGTTAAAACTTTGTGTTTTTACGTGACAACCCAACTTTAATGATAAATACTATAAATACCAATGCATATCACTGCTGTTACAATCATTAGGTGAGGTGGCCGAGTAGGGTATGTATTTGAAATATTTTACATAACCGGTACGTTACTTTCAGTTGACAATATTATTTTATCAAAATATTCAATTCATGGTACCTTTATAATAAAATTTAGTTTCATTCAGCGTAATCGAGTTATCAAGTTATTTTTACTTATTATGTTCATATTTCTAGCAAAATTAAACGCTTATAAAACCCAACTTGTTTTGGATGGGTTTTTGATTGATACACTGGATATATCTTGGTAACACCCCCCGTCAAACCGGACTGCGAAAATTTGCGATCTTGAAATTGAATTAAGTCGCAAGCAAACATGAGAAAAACGAAAAATTGCTATAAAAAGTTTATAATAGTCGCTCTCATCGCGACCTATGCGACCATATTGCGTTCCGATGGGCCGCCCACCACGGCGTTTTTAATAATATCTATGGGGTTGGTAAAGCATGATCATCATATCCAAGATAAGTAAATCACGTTGTACTCGTATTTAGAAATCTATAAACGCAGTGGAAAACCCACGGTTAACTTCAAGAGTAAACCACACCAAACTCGCCAATCTCATAAAAAATTCCATGTGACCACAAGGAGCGACACCTCTGTATGAGAGAATACAAAGTTGCATTAGAAACTCATACATGGTGTGGAAAGCCACTGGGAGCGCAATACGAGCACTGTGAACCCCTAGAGAAAGGGCTCCGAAAGTATGTAAGAAACCCGAGGTTTGTGGTAAGGGCAATATGAAGTCGCCGTTGCACATGTAACCTGTTTTTGCTACGCGTATACTGCTTTTTCACTGCATCCGTGGAGATGCTTGTATAATGTTTTAGAAACGCGTCCACAAAAAAAATGGCTTTTGTTTTGGACGTGTCAACAACAAACGCCATTGGCGACAATGGTTGGTGACCACTGCACAATGTCTGATGTTTCCTACACAAACATACTATATGTTGACTTTGAAACACCCTGGGCAGGACGTAAAACTCCATTCATTTCATTTCCTTTAACACACCCTGAGCCAATCATACGATTATAACAAAGCCTTCATATCATATTTAAGTCGAGATAGAGGTACAAAATGGTTGTGAACTACGTTCGTGTGTGTTAGAACCATACTTGTAGCAGAACAGTAAGGACGCCTCATAGATATCTTAATTATTATATCATAATCGTATTATAAGATAGCTATTAGACTCCTTTTCGGTGTGACGTGGGTGTGATGCCATGCCATTCAGTAATAACTTTGAATATTTAATGCTCCATTTCAGTCATGAACATGAATGTGTTTATCATTGCCCTCATACTTCCGTTCATATCGGCGTACTCTGTTCAATTACGTAGGACGTCTACTATATTTTTACCTACATATGATGCGAATGGAGAGCCAGAGTTTTCTTACGACACTGGAACATCTGAACAAATGGCATATGATGATAAAGGAAAGATTCTCTACGTATCAGGTTTGTATTAAATCGTGTCACCTATTTCTTCACCTTTTTCTATATAAAGGCTATGTAATTGCATCATCCTGGGTGATCCTCGAGGGTGATTCACCATTGTGTCTTTGGCGACCTGTTTCAATTTTGACTTTTTCTTAAATCATAAATTTTCTTAGAACACAATCATTATATTGTATTGGTTTTCAACCTGGTGGTAATTCAAATGGATAATTTAGAAATTTAAGTCTTTATTTATGTTCTCCAACATGAAAAAGATTGCAGGCAAAATCACGAAATTGTAAAGATTTATAGTGTGAAGGGGGTAATTAAATTGATCAAGGATCCTAAAAGGGATGAAAGAAAGAAAAGGGTTGAAAACCTCTGTATTAAAGGCACTTTAGCACTTCAATAAAATACTTACAAACCATAATTCAGAAATAGTAAAAATTGTATATTTATATTTCAGGCTTTGGTGTATTTCATGTATTAGATGTATCAAATGTAACCGATATGATTATCAAAGATCGTAGAATATATTATGACAGTGATTTAACTGATATCGAGTTCTGCGGTGATTATATCTTCTTTGCCTTAGTTAATGGAACCAATGATGCTAGTAGAGAAAATGGAACTGTATATGTTCTCAAGAAATACAAAGCTAATAGTTCAGATTCATTGAAGGTCATCCATAAAATCCAAGGTACGTTTCTACCTCAAAAAAAGGTTTTGTATCATTTGTTTTCACCCTTTTTCATTAAAATAAGTACTGTGAAAGAAACAGATCTTCAGCTTTCTAGGTCTTCTTGTCAACCTCACCAAAAGTTTGAATTGTAGCCCTAAAGTGTCATATTTGTCAATTGTAGTTGGAAGTCTACCAGATATGATCAAACCAACAAAGGATTGTAGAACGGTAGTCGTAGCTATCGAAGCTGAAGCTTATGGATCATCTGATTCTTTTCAAGATCCAAAAGGAGGTGTTGGTATTATTAGATTTCCCAATGGCGTGGAAAATACGCCTGAATACATGGGCCTCGATTTTACAAAGTTTAACGACAGGTAAGTTAAGGAACAGATATTGACATAAGGGAGAACTAATTCATATATTTTGAGTAAGTTTTGACTGCATGCCTGACCATTTATATAGAAAATTTTCCTGATAAGGATACGGACGAGAGACTATCCGTTCTTTGAGCTTTTAGAAGCTTTTAAGTAGCCAGACCTTGTGACCATTAGCATTTAATGTAGGAAATGTTTTCAACAAACTCTATTTATGTTTCTAGACAACCAGAATTAGAAAAGGAAGGAGTAAGATTTGTTTATCGAGAAAATGGTAATACATTTGATCGTGATATAGAACCTGAATACATCACTTTCAATAATGATGAGACTAAAGCTTATATTGCACTGCAGGTATTGTGTCGTCATGCCTATTCGATACTTATAATATCATAATAAGATTGAGGCAAAGTTTAATATCATTCATAATGATTATCAGGCCTCGTCTGAGCAAGAGTTAATGCTGCTAATTGAGTGTCTATAGGTTGTTGATTTAATCCCGTAATTAAAATATAGGCATTCCATTTTCGAACCCAAACGTCAAAATTAAAACCTTTAGAGTCACTTTCAACTTCCAAAATAGGTACGTTGTAGGATGATGCTGGTTTGACATGTTGATGTCTGACCTCATTATTTACGGTATTGTTATTGTTGCCTACCGGTTGGGCATTTTCATCTTGACCACTCATTTTGAAGTTGTTTTCAGCTGTATTTTCTTTCTACTCTGTAGTTGCTCGCAGCGCCATGTTCGATACTTATAATATCATAATAAGATTGAGGCAAAGTTTAATATCATTCATAATGATTATTTCTACAGTTTACAACAGACTAAGAAACGGAAGTGTGCTTATTCTCAAGGGAGATAACTCGTCCTTGGAATAAAGAGGAATCAGACCACCAATCATACTGTCTATGTATTTGAGTCTATTGAATATCCAACAATGCCCTCTTCAATGATCCAATTTATTTTATGGATATGATTTTCATACAACGGAACGAAGTTATTGAATTTAGAGAAACAACTTGATTCCATATCTCTTTCAAGTCCGTAACTTTATTAAGGCAAATGAGGCAAATGCCTCATGTCGAATTTGACGAAGAGAAATTTTGTATTAAAAATTTAAATATTTCGTTTTTTGACGGATGCGTAAAAGTTGTTTATAGTGCGATGAAAGATATAACAAAAGATAGCAGGATTTTTGCCCCAGTCTTTTCCTTCTTTAAACTGGTATATGTGGTGCATTTCATTACTCTCATTAATAATTTGAATTGATTTATGAAAAGTTTGGTTCATAATATTAACAATACCAAATTTCAAACTTGGCTAATGCTATTGGTTCGGTTGGTTTGGTCACATCAGTGACGACTGCAGAACTTTGAATAAGAGGGGGGCGCCGGCATTTTTTACGAATCCATTCTAGGTAGGTTAGGGGGGCAATTAAATTCTGAAATTAAAGAGAATTCCTACATTTTTACAACATTTAAGAAATGTATTTTTTTGGGCCTTTTCGGGATGGGGTGATGTCCCCCCCTCCCCCTCAATCCCCCTTCCCGTTGGAGTCGCCACATGGTCACAACAGTCCGGAGACACAGTCTAAAATTGTAGAAAGTGAAGATTACCTCTTATATGTTGTAGGAGAACAATGCTATTGCTATTGTGGATTTGGAAAAATCAGTAATCGACGAGATCAAAGGATTGGGATATAAAACATGGGATAAATATACACTTGACGCTAGTGACAAAGATGGAGGTAATTATTTGTGACATGTTTTAAACGAAACATTTACGTACACTGTTGTTTTTTCATTTCACTTCATTTTACATGGCATTGCACACAAGGGTGAAAATATTTCTCAGACCTGCAGCTCAATTTCAAACCAAATACTAAAACATTACACAGATTTGCTGATATATTCCTTATAGGGCTGCAACGATTCACCGTTGAATCGATGAACCGCGATTCGTTCCTTCTTATCGATGCATTGCGGAAGAAAAAGATAATCGCGATACATCAGCTCGATTCTCATAAATATAATTAACCCCCTTTAATGACTAATAGCACGGAATCCTCGCGTATTTTAGAAATTGTGTCATGTTCAAGTGTTAAAAAATTGCTTTCACGTATTAATTTGTCTTCATTTGTCTATTAATATGCCAAGTGCCAATAAATATTGTATGACATACAATATTTAAAAAAAAATGAAATCTGTGCCCGAATTGTCTTAAATTAAGATAGTTCGGTAAGGTTTCATCTAACAAGTTAACAAATTCCTTGGCTTACTTCCCTTGGAAAATAGATCATTTAATAATCACATACAAACATAACAGCCGAAAATCTCACCCAACATCGGGTGAAAACAGTACATCCCGTAAATTAAACTGGATACTTGTGGATCTCCTAAGGGGGGTAGTATCATGTGTTCTAGAAAGAGTGAAAATACTCTGCCAATAACAAGTGTTTCTCTCGAAGAGTTTGCAAAACTCTCATAAGTTAGAAATTCGGGAAACCTCAGATATCTCGCCCCCTCTGGAACGTAAACCTGGCTCCGCCACTGGATCGCAACTTTAGGAATCGTTGCAGCCCTTTATACATTTTTACCATATGCATTCAATCTTAATGGATAGCTCTTCCATTCCTAATATATTATGTCAGTGCCATACGGAATGCTTATTGGTTGTTTTTTGTCAATTATTATATATTTTTGTAATTTAATCAAGGTATTAACATGAACAACTACGACTTTATACGATCCTTCTACTTACCGGATTCCATCAAATACCATCATTGGAATGATGTTGATATTATTGTAACGGCTAATGAAGGTGATTCTAAAGACTATAAAGATGGGTTTAATGAAGAACGTCGAGGAAAGAAATTTGATGCTGGTAGGTTTTTTGTACCTGTATTTTATCAAAATTCTGTCTTCTAATGGTTGTGACAGTGGTGTCTCGATGAATCATTGTGTGAGGAATTTAATGGAGGAGTATAAGGCAGCTTCATTTTTGAAGCCATTGAGAAAACCCACATTCACCAAAAGATGTTTTCAAAAGACATTTATTTCGTAAGATAACCGGTCTGAAGGCACAATGTTTTCGAATTTTATGCGATCAGTGGCGTATTTATGAAGGGCAAAGTTCTATGCATCGATTAACTGCAGTTTATACGACAATGTGATGATTTTAATTTTGTAAATATTATTATTACAGCTGTATTGTCTGATAAAATACCACGATCTATCAAATCAGATTTAACCAATGATAGTAGACTGGGTAGGTATATTTATTTAATGTAATGATGTGCAATATTGTTATGACTAATTTTCATGCTTTTAAATTAAAATCTATCCCACCAGTGTACAAAGGCATTTTTCTCTTGTTGCAGACGAAATTTATTCTACATATGAAATATCTTCTGATACTTTTGATATTCTGAATTAGAACCTTTATTCGAGTATTCAAAGAATATTGCGTTTTCTTTTTTTTTTGAGAATGGTTCACAATGAACTGCCAATCGACCTGAAGAAAATTTGTATTTTACAGGGAGATTAAAATTTACTAACGTTGATGGACGTGACAGTACAGGAAAATATGAAAATTTATATTTCTTTGGTGGACGTGGATTTACTATTCGCAAAGCTTCTGATATGTCTATATTGTACGATAGTGGTGACATAATAGAAAAGAAAACATCATCCCTCGCTCCAGAAATCTTTAACTCTGATACAGAAGGGAAAAAGTCTGTCAATGATCAAATGGACAACCAATCAGACAGCAAGGTAAATATGGTACTTTAAATCATCATCATCATCATCATCATCATCATCATCACCATCTCATCATCATCATCGTAATCATCATCATCATCACCGTCATCATCATCCGGAATTTCTGTTTTACAGTTCATTTATCTTTGACAATTAAGACAAAAGCCGTGCTGTAGGCCAATTGGTCGAATAGTGTAAATGTTCTTTAAAACTGGTCATTCATATCATGATCCTGATCTTAATTATGATGCCTCATCATTATCATCATCATCATCATCATCATCATCATTAGTAATTCTCAGTTGAATTTACTTCAAATGACTCATTTGGTCAATTAATTCAGATTGTCTATACACCTGCTTTTAGGGTCCTGAAAGTGAAACGGTGGAAATTGCTGAGATCGGTGGTAGATTGTTTATATTTGTGGGCAGTGAAAGGCCAGGGACAATAGCTGTATTCTCGGTTGGGGATAACTTTAAGGACACAAAATTCGACCATCTCTATTTCAACATAGCTGAATACGACAAACCTTTAAAAGACTTGTATAAAGAACGAAAAATCTCAGAAATTGATCCCGAAGATTTAAAGTATGTTGTTTGTATACATGTATATATGTCTTTAACTCTTTGAAAAATGGAAAAATGTCCCATCAGATGATCATTGATCAAAAGTATTTATGTCCGACTGCGTTTTTTTTCTTTCATTTTTTTAACTGAATATTATACGTCTTTGAGGCAATTTCATGTGTTAAAATGAAAGATCAATGATTAAATATATTTTATGGAATCTGGTATATTTCAGATTTGTACCAGCTAGAAAGAGTCCAAATGGAAAAAATATATTATTTGTAGCTGGATCAGTATCAGGTACACTATCTATTCTGGAAGTTGATATCGATATGGGTTCAACAGATAGTAATAACGGTATGTCATTTTCCCATTTACCATTTCTTTCACTGCTATATCCACTGAAAATGAAAAGTCACCAAGCATAAGGTATTTCTGGATTGATAATGATAATGCAGAAATGTTATGTATATCACATTGATTGTAGTTGATTATTTTTATATTTTATATATGCATGACTGGACTTAAGGATTTTACAAAACAAATCATTTCAACAGGCGTAAAAATCTAATTAGTTTATATGAATATTTTTCAAAAGTAATTGTATTTAGTTGGACTTTGTGACATATGTCATGATTGAATACATTTTCGTTTTTAACATTTAATAATTATTTTTTTCATTTTCAGGAGTGACAGCAATAGGTATGACTGTAGCTAAATATCTAGATTTATTCCGTTAATGGATGCGCCTATTAACAAACTAATACCTTCTAATACTCATTGTTTTAATATAAGTTCAGTACCGGTACTTATTTTTCTAAAGTGGAATTGGTAAAAAAGTTCGACGATGATATGCTACGATCAAACTTGGTCTAACGTGTATTATGTGTACTTCCTGACACTATTATCCAATTTTCACATAATCAATATGCTTATCTACTGCTCTGTGAGGTTGGCCAGTTCCTTCATTGAGATTCTATAGTCAATTCACCCTAATACTAGTATTAAGTGGTACGTGATACTAACCGGATTCTCAACTAGTGTCCATGTGGATACTAATAGGTTCTCAAATACCACTTCTTTGAATTTTTATATCATATACAGAGTTACAGCAAATTGTCGGTCCTTAGTACTAATGTTTGAATTAACATAGATTTAATTTTCAACGTACACGGGAAGGCTGTTATCATAAATGAGTATTTGAAAGAGGACGTGCTTACCCGTTACACTGTTCCATTATGTCCTGTCAACGTACGCTCGTATATTTCATCACAAATTCAATCTTTCTATGTATTTATAGATGGCTTAAAAGTACAAAAGCTTATCATATTTAGTCTTTAAATTCAATATATGAAAACAGTATCATGGTTTTGTTACAATTTTGGGCTTTGCTTCATTCAACTAAGAGAGCGCTTTGGACGCTTTGGACAGTGTCGGATTACGTGATTTCAACTCAAACGTCACTATACCTGCTAAATATTATTGAGTTTTTGTGGACTTGGCTAATGCAAAGTCCCAGTTTGTTATCGAAATGTCAATTCTTTTTTTTCGATTTTTACACACCTTCCTGAGCTTAGACTACAATAGTTGCAGCAACCTTTCAACGTTCACGAACCTTAGATATAGGCGACGATGTGCATAAATATATTTTGGATCTTTTTTGCAAAACCGGAAGTGCCACAGTTCAATATGTGCAAGAATAGATAATCGGCTCTGAAAGAATAGCAGTTTCAAAATTTCAAAATTCGAAAATTTGTCGCAGACATTTTCTTTTTGCCAAATTTTGCATTTTTTTCATTTTTTTTTTTGCTTGTTGTCTGATTAATCTGAAAAAAATTGAGCAAAGACGGTTTAAGAAAGTAAACAAAACGGTACAGTCAAATTTTCAATTTCACTTCCGGTTTAAACAGGAAATCGATGTTGAATATCTTCCGGTGTAATTTGTATAGGACAAAAAATTTTATGCTGATAGGTAGACAAAGTTGTGACAAAAAAACGAAGAAAAAAAAATCCAGAACAGACGTGAAACTTTGGCCGCCATTTTGATTTTTCTGAAATGATTCGATTTTTATTCGGACATAATGGCTCATCCGATTTAAATGATTTTGGTGTCAAATGAAAGGAGATAAAAAAAAACATGACATTAGGAAGTGTAGTATCCTCGTCTCAGGAATACTCAGGATTAAACCAGCAACATTAAAGTAATAAGATTTATTGAGTTCAAATCATGCACACCATTACGCCGGTTCCGTACATAATAATAATAATATCCTGTACATATTAACAACCCTCAGTACAGTCAATACATCATGAAACGAAATATTGTATATTGTATGCTCTATGACTAGCATAACGTATTAATGCCGTACAATACATCCCTCCCTTTTTCAGAATTTTAGCCATTTAAAATTATAACTAATTATAAATCATATCTAAAATAAACAATGTAGTTATCTATAAAATAAGAGATGCAATGCTCTAACCTAAGCATACTTCAACCAAAATATTTAACTGTGATCAGTAGAGAACAAATAAAACATCATTACCAAAATATTGACATTGATTTTTTTAACTACAAAATTTTACATTGAACACCAGCTTAATAGAGCTCATAATCATTAAGATACTTTGGTAATCTTGTCTTACGTTTTTGTCTACCTCTACTAATATTGCCCTGCTTATTAACATTCAAAAATTCAGTATCGCTATCACTAGTACTAATATCATCAAAAGGTATATCAATATTCTGATTATCAATATCATTACTATCATCAGTTAAGACATTTGAAGGATTTTCAAGAACATTATCATCAACAACATTTTCAAATTTTGAGCAATCATTTATAACACCTTTATGATCAATTCTTTTTCTAGCAAACAGTTCTTGTTGATTGGATTGTCCTAACTGTCTCTGTTTTGAGTTTCCATATTGACTAATTTGACTATTCCTATTTTGACTATTTCTGTTTCGAATCTGATTAAAACCACTTTGTCTTTCACAAACTACGTTTCTATTTTCACGATTTGCATTCTCACAAGGAACATTTTGATTATGAATCGCATCACCTCTATTCACATTTTGATTTCTTTTCACATTTTCCTCCTTTTCCTCAGAATTTAAATCATCATTCTCTTCAAGATATTTTCTCACATGATTTATATTTCTAGTATATTTAACACCAGTTTCACAATTTTGCACGATAACTTGAGATCCAAATTTCTCAATAACTACATAAAAAGCATTTTCAAACTTTGTAGATAACTTATTTAAACGTTTTTGTAATACTAACACTTTATCACCAATTTTAATATCACAAATTTGAACATTTCTACGTTTATCTGCATAATCTTTCACTTTTTGTTTTATTTCCGAATCACGATCCAAAATACTCAAATCATCTAAAATTATATCCATATTTATTTCAGGAATTTTTGTTTTAATTTTCCTATTATACAGTGATTCAGCAGGACTAATACCAGTTGTTGAATGCGGTGTAGATCTGTACGCAATCAAAAATTTGTTAAGTTCCTGTTGAATAATTCTCCAATTTCCTTCAGAATGAACAATTTTCAAATACTTCATTAAAGATCTATTTTGTCTCTCAACTTCCCCATTTGCTTGAGGCCAATAAGGAGTAGATTTTCGATGCACTATTGAGTTAGTTTCCAAATAGTGTTCAAATTCGTCTGGCACAAACACGGATCCATTATCAGTTTTTAAAGTAACAGGATATCCATGAGTTGTAAACATATCATCCATTGAATCTATTATTGTTTTAGACGTAACAATCTTCATAATTTTCACTTCATAAAACCGCCTAATACTGATTTTCCATCCGGTAATGGACCTAAAATATCAGCTGCTAAATCATTCCAAGGTTTTGTAGGTAGTTTTGTACTATAAATCGGTTTGGGTTGTGCTGTCTGACCAACAAGTTGACATTGATGACAAGTTCTACATTTTCTTTCAATTTCTTGGTCAACACCGGGCCACCATACTTTTGATCTAATTCTTTGTTTACACTTAACAATCCCTTGGTGTCCTTCATGCCCTAGACTAATAACACGTTTTCTATAACTTTGAGGAACAATTATTCTTGTGTCTCTTAAAACAAGTTTACCTAATGAAGTCAATTCATTTCGCACTGATTTATATTGTAAAGCACAGTTTTCCAAACTACTATTTTGAATACACTTTCTAAGTCTTGATATTTCATCATCTTTGTCACATTCGCGTTCAATGTCATGAATTGATAAGCCTTCAGGTGTAGAATTTACCGCGAGAAATCGAATATAGTCCTCAGCATGATTTAACAGTTGCGGTTTACATACACACGACCTCCTTGATAAATAGTCTGCTATATTTTGACTTCCTGGAATATAACGAACTTTAAAATTATATTGTTGCAGTCTTAATACCCAACGTTCTATTCTAGCTGATGGATGCGAACGTTTAGAATAAATGAATTCTAACGGTTTATGATCAGTCAATAATTCAAATTTAATACCATAGATGTAAACATGAAATCTTTCACAAGCCCACACAAGTCCTAAGGCTTCTTTTTCAGTTTGACTATAACACCTTTCGACATCTGATAAACTGCGACTTGCATATGATACTATTCTTGGTTCACCATTTTGAATTTGCACTAACACTGCACCAAGACCTACTGGACTTGCATCTGCAATTACTTGAGTCTCAGCTTCAGGATCAAAATAAGCTAACGTTTCAGCATTTGCTAACAATTCTTTCAGTCTATCAAACGATTTCTTTTGACGTGTACCCCACTCAAATTTAACTGTTTTTCGTGTCAAGTTTCTTAAAGGTTCTGACACTGTTGCGAGATTAGGAATGTATCTACCACAAAAATTAACTAAACCTAGAAAACTTCTAATATCACTCGCTTCTGTTAACTCCAACTGGTGATACCCCATACGAAGATCCAACTTTGAGAATATCGTACTCCGATTCATATTCTGTAAGACTTCATCAACTGTAGGTATCGGGAATCTTTGACGTATTATCGCATTGTTTGCCAGTCTCATATCTACACACAGTCTGATCTCATCTGAATTAGCTTTAGGTACGACCACTAATGAACTCTCCCATTAACCTCTTCCAAAATATCTAATTTATTCAATTCATCTATCTTCTCTTTGATTTTATTTCTTAAACCAAATGGTTCCCTTCTTGGTTTTTGAGCTATGGGTTTAAAACTAGGGTCTATATGAATTTCAGCTTGATAGTTTTTCAATTTACCCAAATTACCAAAACAATCACTATATTTATCTAAAATATTGTCATTTGTAATACTATTAATCTCTGGACCAAGTCTTAACACATTCAGTTCTTCAGCACTTTTCTTTCCTAATAATGCTCTACCAACACCTTTAATAACCACAAATTCACCTGATACACATTTGTCTCTAAAATTCACTAAGGTTTGGAATTTTCCTAAAGTTTTTAATGGAACTTTTGAACCATAAGAATATATCTTCTTTTCTACTTTCTGTGAAGTACATTTAATTTTCTTCTTCTTCATGTCTTCCCATGATTTCTCATCAATAATATTACATGTTGCACCAGAGTCTATCAGCATATCCAAATTTATTCCACCAATATTAATTTCTATCATACTTTTATCATCAGTTTGAAATTGGACTGTGAATGCAAAGTCAGAATCTGAGTCTTTACCAAATTCACCATTTTCTTCAGTTTCCATTTCAACTTGATTAATTCTTGATCTAGGTTTCCAGTTTTCTTCTTATTTTGTTCTTTAGTCCTACAGACTATTGCATAATGACCAAGTTTACCACATTTATCACAAGTACTGTTTTTAGCAGGACAATTTGTATCTTGAAAACCATGACCTAGTTTTCCACATCTTTAGCATGAAAAGTTTTTACTACTGTTACCAGCTTTATTACCTCTGACAGTTCGTGACCTACTTTCGTATTTAGCTCTGCCTCCTCTTTGATGTCTGCGTGAACTATGATACACTTGATTGACAGATTGGTTTTCCCGACTAAAATCTTCAAATTTACTGCTTGAATTGTCTGTTCCAGTATAATTTTTCAATTGTAAATCGACCATTTCAACACTTCGAGCTAATTGTTGCAAACCAGCTAATGTCAAGTCATTTCCTTTGGCTAATAATTTTCTTCAATCACCAAATCTCTACATTTTTCAATGACTTGTTCTCGAATATTTTCATCTGTTTTAACTTCAAATGCGCAGAATATAGCTTGCCTTTTCAGTCTAGCAATAAATTCATCGACAGTTTCACCAGGTTCTTGCGCCATTTTTCTAAACACATGACGTTCAAAAGGAATATTGTTGTCTGGATCAAAATGAGCATCTAGTGTTCTCAAGGCTTGTTCATATACTGTTGCAGTATCATCTTCAACCTCTTCACCAGGACCAGGATCTATTAAAGTTTCAAATAAATCTTGAACATCCATGCCTGCAAAATGTAGCAACAGACACTTCTTTTGTTCTTCATCTGCTAGTCCTTTCCCTCTAACATAAAACTGGAAAGCCCTCTTCCATCTTCTCCACGATGTTGCGAGTAGTGTCCTCTTGCCGTGAAAGGAAAACGGTTCAAGAGCATGTGTTTCGATATTGGTTGTCATAATCTACAGAATTTAGAACGATTCTTCTGTGAACAGTTTACCAAATTTCTTTGCCAGCTTAAAGACTAATTAATTTATCATCCTCGTCGCCAACTGTAGTATCCTCGTATCAGGAATACTCAGGATTAAACCAGCAACATTAAAGTAATAAGATTTATTGAGTTCAAATCATGCACACCTTTACGCCGGTTCCGTACATAATAATAATAATATCCTGTACATATTAACAACCCTCAGTAATATATAAGTCAATACATCATGAAACGAAATATTGTATATTGTATGCTCTATGACTAGCATAACGTATTAATGCCGTACATTACAGGAAGCCGTTTTTCGATTCTCAATTTTGCTTTTTTGCAACATCCGGTTGAATTTTTTCAAAGTTTGAAGGGTCATATCTCGTGATCTTGAACTTTCATGACCTTGACCTTCATAAGGTCAAAGGTCATTGACCTTAGCTATCAGTTAATACTTTGACATTTGACCTCCGACATGTACTTCCGGTTTTATAGCTGTCCGAAAACAGCCAAATTCGCAACTTTGGACTGCTCTAGCACGTGACCTAATTAATCTAGAGGGTTAATTTTTTCGGATTCTTAATGTGCTTTTCATGCTCTTTCAAGTGATTTATAACAATCGTTTTTTAAAGCAAAATTGAAATTCGTGAATTTTTCAAATTTGAGTTTTTTTTTTACAATATTTCTGTTTCTTTGAGCTTGGTGTGTATATATCTTATGACCTATTTTATGTAGAACATTGAAACTTGGAACACAACAAGACAATTTGAATATGAATTAACCTATGACAAAAAAGTTGAGGTGGGTGTGGCGCATCCGGGTTGAATTACTAATTGTTTACATTTTGGGAAAGGGGCATAACTCGCATAGGATACATTTGTTCAAAAAGGAACTTTGCACACAATTAGCTCATTATTTTGGCCAGTTTGTGTTAATAGGTCAATTGTTTCAGCTTTATAGTTTCAAAAAGGAACGGGTTTTGAAATTTCCATATTTTCAATTTTCTATTTTGACCTTTATTGACTCTTGTTGACCTATATCTTTTGACCTGTATGATGTGGAAGCTTTAAATTTGGGACACAACATAACATTCAGAATATCAATTAACCTATGCAAAAGAAATTGAGGTGGGCGTAGCACATCCGGGTTAAATTACTCATTATTGACAATTTTGACAAGGGACTTAACTCGCAACTTATACATTTGTTCAAAATGGAACTTTGCATACAATTACTTCATCCGTTGAGCCACGTTTTCTTAGAAGTTCGATTGTTTCAGCTTTATAGTTCAAAAAAAGGAACAGGTTTTGAAAATTCTAAATTTTCAATTTTTGACCTTGACCTTTTTTGACCCTGATTTTTGTAGGATCAAAGGTCATTCACATTGGCTATCTATTTATACTTTTATATTTGCTGTCTATCTCAACTTCCGGTTTTATAGCCGTATATATTTAAAAATTTTGATCACTTGTATCTCGTAACCTTGACCTTTGTTGACCGTCTCCCTTTCAATGTCAAATGTCATTGACCTTGGCTATCTTCTGATACTTTCATTTGTGAGGTCTATCTACTTCCGTTATAACAATCTTCCAAAGAATTCTTCTCAACTTTAGACTGCTCTTGCGCGTGATGTAATTATCGTAGAAGGTTGATTTTTTCAGAGTCTTTTGCATTTTGCTACATTTGCAAAGTCCCACTCTGTGCCACGTGTGGCTCTAGTTTTCTATTGGTTCTAACAATCTCGTGTTTCTGAACACTCATTTTTTAAGACCATACTTTATAAACGTCCACTGTCGGCTTCCATCCAGTTGGCTGATTTTTCAATATGTACTCGCATAACAGTATACGATAATCTTTTTTAATGCTCAATTGTATCATCAGCTTTAAATCTTTGTTCTTTTTTCGGTAATATCATAATCTGAATTTGTTTTACTCTTTTACTAATCAATTTACTAAATGCGTATTAAAGGGACATATTCAGCATATAGTCCTCAGAGATACAAGAAAGGTACGAAAATCGCATTTTTTTTTCAGAAAAAAAACAACCTATTTCTCTATTTTTATGTAGTGCATGTATTTTATATATATGGCAAGAGTCGTCTTTTTACCTTCAATCTCGGATATTTCTTGAAACACATAGATTTGAAGGCTCAAATTTCGACAGTGAGCTGTGCACTATTACTGATAAGCTTTCCCGTTTCTGAGACTAAGTTACGATTGTTCAAACGGATGGCGAACGTGTCCCTTTAAACGGTACAGGTGGAAGTGTAAACTAATTAACTCTATTACTAATCATTCTACTAATGCGTATTAATGAGTGTCCCCTAGATACCAGTGGGACGACTCGGTCGACCTTTGGTGATTAGATGCCACTGTCAATTATTTCACCAATGTAGCCGTTTCAAGATATGAGACCATATCATTTCTGTAACATGTTTGTTAAAACGCGGGCTAACCTTCAAAAACCCGACTCTAGCTGGCATCAATGATGTGATTGATGAATTCTTAATGGATAAATTTCCACTTAATCGAAAGTCAGGCCACTGCTGATTGGCTGAAAAAGTGGGTTAGGTTCTAAGTTTAGATTACTATAATGGAAATTTACACTGTATTTTATTTCATGATTATAATGAGCCATTTTATTTACTTTCAGGTTGTTCAATGTTTATTTTACTTGTCCATTCGATGTTTTTGTTTATTCATTTTACGTTATAATGTGTTTCCGTGTTTATGCTTATAAAAATAGTTTTTTTTTTTAATTTTGTCAATTTCGTTCCGATTACATTCTATGCTTCTCTGATAAGGGAGATGCGGTCGATGCAATGAATATACAACTGTGTTTTCTCCATAGGATATTTTCAATAAAGTTAGTTTAGTAATGAGCTGGGCGACACTCTCCGACTGTTTGCAATATGACTTCCAAGGCATTGGAATTGTAAAGCAGTGAAAGCCGATCCGAATAGTGCTTTGATAAAAGTTTCTAGAAATAATGTCAGATGGCAGATAGAGTCTTGGATGAAAATGACCTACATTTTGACACGTTTTTCTTGATAAGATAATGTTTGCTTGCGATATTTCTTTTGAGCTTGCTGTCTTGAAAATGGCGAAACTGATTATCGTGTTTATGCTACCTTTTGTTGCCATATTGGCTGCTAAATTGACAGTACAACCAATACATATGTGTGAATATCAGGGCCATAAATTCCCAATAGGCAGTGAATACAGACCAACTGATTGTACAACATGTCGATGTGAATCCAGTGGACGACCATCGTGTTTGATAGCTGATTGTTTTTTCGTACCATGTGTTGATTCTGTACACATACCAGGACAGTGTTGTAACCATTGTCCTACAGGTATGTTATTCAGTTACACATAGTCCAGTCCAAATCATGTATCATGTAGTGTACCTAATGGAAGTATTCAATGAAATTTGTATCATAACCTGACTAGCAGTTTTCGAACCAGTTTTAAAAAATTACTCATGTATTAAAATGCTCTATGAACAGAAAAATATAGTCCTTACAAACCTGAAGCATCTGTCTGTGAGGACCTTTACTCGTTTAATAAGCAGAAACCTTATACTGGAAATACGGATAACCATGGTTGTTGGTTGGTTGGTACATAACAAGTTAACGTTAACGTTCTGCTGGAAGCGGACGTTAACTTGTCATCCACCAACTAACCAACCAGATCAGCCAAGACAAAGTTAAAAATTAGATTATAGTAATATTTTATTATGTAAATTAATTAACAGGGAATAACTGTTATGCTTTAAATGGTAAAATCATCAAAGCTGGTTCCGAGATTAAAATTGACGATAATACTTTTTGTACATGTCCAGCACCATGGGTTAGACCTAACAACGCTACTTGCAGAAAAACGTTAAAAAAAAAAAAACAATAATACTTCCTTAAAATTAAATATTTATCTAATGTGTAAAATTTGTCTTACAACCTTTATGCAACCTAGTTGTGCTGTCTACCATTTACACTGAGTGATAAAATTGCCCTTTCAACCTTTATACCTTTTTTAAAAAGTCAAAATAATATTACAAATTCAAATTTCTAATAATACATTATAAACATACAGACAATATAGGTCGCAACATCCTTTGAAAATAGTCTCGACAATATTCATAGAGAACATGACATCACAATACAATTTTAAAATAAAATATCAACATTAATATTAAAAATAATAACGAAAAGCTCGAAAATGTAACAAAGGAATGAACTAAAAATAGATATTCTTCTATGCGTTTACAGAACAAATAATATAAGCACATCAAATGACTATAAGCCTACTATTTTGTATATTTGGCACTTGTTCTCATGAGGAAGGATATTAAATCTTCATGTGTTTTCATAACACAGAAGAGTGGAAGTTTTTGCTAGGTGTTTTGTTATAGACTTTGCATCCATTGAATCAAAATTTCATGATTTCCTCATGTTTTTATACGCATTACTTTAATAAAAATTTGCACAAACCAAGAAAAACTAGAAGTAAAGTACATTCTCTCCAAGATGATCTTACTTTATCACAACCTATAAATAAAATATCAGATTATCATTATAACAGTCATCTTGCAGTACAGCTTCCACTACTGCCAATGGGCGTATGTTACCTTGCCTGGCAAGCTATATCATTTATGTCCCTTTCGAGGATCAGTTGCAAGTTTAGCATAATCAAACATTCAAATTATGTTTTAACAGCACGTCAGTTGGTCTTAACTAACACCTCAGAATAGTAAAGAATAAAAGGCTGATATCTGATGACTTACATGATTTACCATCACCAACCACTGCTCCAACATTTGGATCTGGTGGTACTGTACCTGAAAGAATATAGAACAAATTCAATATCATCTGATATAGAAGAATATATAAAGAACATTTTCAAGGAATCCTCGGACAAACTTCCGTCTGCACATTGCACACATCATGCACCTCAATGCCATATGTGTAACAAGTATTTCAATTTATTTTATGTTCGATATTACTTGTGAATCAAGTAGTGTATCATTAGACTTACCTTCTTGAATGAATGTGGTAGTTTCTATTGGTGGTAGAGTGATGTCTAAATGAAAACAGAAAATAAAATTATTTTACAGTCAATATTACCATCTAAGCAGTGAATCACTTCACAAATCTCTTACCACCACCAGCAACCTATAAACTTGTACTCTCTCGGTCAATTTTTGAGATTTTAAAGCTAACTTATTGTGCGCTCAAGAAATTGGTATGAGATTAGCCTTAAATGTACTGTTATTATATCGTCCACAGTGCATTACCACGTTGTGGTGACATCATAAGAATAATTTCAAAACATATACAGAGATTTCGGAAATCAGAATATGCCCAGACCTGGTGGTTTAAAATCTATATCCTTTTTGCCTTCTGGAGTAATACAGGTCTTTTCTCCATCCGGAAGTGGTAGACAGAAATATGTACAGTCACCAAAGTTTATTGTGCAGTTGTTTTCATCTATAAAATAGAAGAAAATTTAAAAAGCTCGTAGAAAGGGCCATCATGTTTTTTTATATTTTCTATCAAACATTTTAGCAATATGTTTCGACTGTGTTTGATTTTAGAATATTACAAATATTTCACACAATTACTTGGTTTTTCTAAAAGTAGAAATGATAGCGTTACATACCTACATCTTCTAACTGGGAATCTAGAAAAGCCACATCTGTTATATTCTGATCAATTAATGTGAATACTGTTTCAGTTTTTTGTTCAGTTATAAAATATTTGATCAACCTGAATACAAAATGAGAGCAGAGCTAACTGTTATAATTTGACAGAATAAATTTGATGCACATTGATCAAACATTAAGTTGCTAACTCAACAATACGGGCTATATTGACATTAAATGTTAAAAAATGTATCTATTAGCGAAAATACATAACTCAAATCGTTGAAGTTTCCAACCTAGCACCAGGTTTAATTATTTATGTTAACCTGTTAGAGTTGATAAATCTTTAGAACACTGACTTTAGGGGCGAATAAAATTTGCACCTTTAAAGAGTTTGGTTTTAAAATGTCTTGTGTCAGAATAATAAATAATGGGTGTTTCCAAAATTTTGAGAAGATTTGGTATTTGACGGGCTTATAAATCTAAATTTACAATGTAACGAAGGCTACTCACGTTGTATCGTTATTAGCTGTAAATATGAAATAAATATTGTCCTGAAATGATTTAACAGAGGCAATCCTTACATCGGATTTACCAATCCATAGTATAGCTGAATCATTACCATCTCTATCACAACTGTTTAATGTATTTTGTACACTATAATATATTCTTTCATCTGCAACCAAAAACAGATAATACAAAATCACAGAGCAGTGTGGATCCTTCGGCTCATGCCGTGGACAAGCGTCGAATGCAGATGAAAAATGTTTCCCTCCCATGGCCGTTGGATATCATAGGGTCAAGTGTCACAAAAGATATGGTTAGTGCAAGGTTAGGAATTTTAGGTTGTAACATTGCGGTAACGTACGGTTACGAAAGCACGGGCATTTAGGGAAAGAGATAGTGTATTGTTTGTGCAGTTTGTTTGAATAATAATATAGAAATGAAAATAGGCTTTAATCTGTGCGTTTTTCGTACATGTCGTAACCTATGATTTTCCGAACCAGTCAGCATAGGTCTTGAAAACGACAACAACACGATATTTCCACCCAAACAATGTTGTTGCTGTAAGGAAACGTGAAATTACCTATGTGACTATACACTATACTACTAGCAAGACTGTTAGTCATTATCAACTCTCTTGATGATCCATCATACACAATTCTCTCTATATCACCATACATCCCATTTAACCAATATATATGTCTGTAATTATTATGTAAAACTATCTATCACAAGATGTTCTAAAAGTCGTGAATATAGGCAAGAATGCATACAATGATTAGGATAACTCAGGAATCGAAATATCAAGAAAGATTAGTCCTTAATTGAACAAAATCAAAATGGCATGAAATGAGTTGTAATGCTTTCTGGAATTGTTACTCTATTGCCGTTTTTTATTAATCGTTAGGTAGAGGGGTCGAATGGGGGACACAGAATTAGAAGTTTAGGCAAAGCCGGGTCAGCCTAATTTCAGTTCAAGGGAGATAAGAACAGAAACAACTCTATTAGTTTTTACTACCTCATTCAAGAGCGTGGGGACTGTGAAGAGGTTTTCAACAATAACAACAACAAATATATGTGTATCGGCGACACGAATCAATTTGCACCTTTCATTCCACTCTTAAAACTAAGTGTGATTGTGACTCTACCCCCTTACGAACTTTGCGACGTAGTGACGTCATCAAACACTTAATTTTAGTGGAATGGCAGAAACCACAGACGTCTGATTAAAAATTGGAATCGTGCAAATTGATGCTATCAGAGTCGCCAATACACACGAAAACCACATTACAGTTTCTTTAAGGCGATCTAAAACACAGAAAATAACTTCTTGTTAAAAACGATGATAGGAACGGTTTGAACATTAACAAAATTGTGAATCTTTGATCAACTATAAGAAATTGTTACCTATTGTCAACATCCAGCGAAATTATGTCGGGACTACTTATATTGGTATTATAAATTGTAGTGTATTCAAATCCATACAGCGACATAACTCCGATCTCTTCTGATTTACTTGTTGTATAAAATAATAAGGCATGTTTACTATCAATAGCTATCCGGTTAACATCTGAAAAAAAAATTATTTAATAGATTTTATGTGAAGCATTAACACATAAATCAAAATAAAAACAATTCTTCAAAAATTGTAGTCTGTAGACTGAGAGCGAGGTGATACCCTCCAACTGGTGACATTTTCATCACATTCAACGCTGAAAATCGATGAAAAAATGGCCGATCATCAAGAAAATCATTACATCGCAATTAAACATTGGTTCGGTCTAGAATTTAATGGGACTACCAGTTAAAATTTTAGCTTTATTAAAATTCAAATTACTGTAGTACTTGATATATCTAAGTTTAAAACAAGTCCGGACGATTATTTACATGATTACTTACATACATACCTTCTAAATGTCTTACTTTATTTTGTCCATTTAAAGTTGATGATAATAGTCCTGCCGTTGAAGCGAAATACAATAAACCTTCGACTGGATCAAATTCTAAACTAGTTATTAGCAAACTTTTATGTATAATATTGAATGTTTTAGGTTGTGATTTTGATATTACTGTTATTCCTTTTATTGGATATTCTGATAGAGCTAGATCAATTTCACATCTAATTTCTACAAAATAAAATATTATTCTAGATAATAGTAACGATGATTGTTATTTTCAATCTCGATTCGCACTATAGGTGTAATGAGAGAAACAACGTCACTGAAGTCAAAAGCATTATTTTTTGTACCAACAGTCAATGACTGCATCCCTGTTAAATTTCAATATTAGGTGAAAATCGTTTCATAATAATCTGATCGAAATTGCAGCCCCATTCGTGATCCGTTGATGTATCCTGAATAAGTTATGAGTAGTAACTCGGCAATATACTTGATGGCAAAACTCGAACATCTAAATCATAAACCATTTAAGATCACTTTATTAGATGTACGTTGTACATAATATAACGCTTTACAAATACTACCAAGTTGCCAATTTTCACAAAAGCTATCAAAATTGTGGAATTTGAAAGTCGTTAGGGGAAATTGAGTATGAATATCAGATATTGTTTAGTTCTAAAAAAATATACCTTGATACCTTAATTTTAATATTCCTTTGTTACATTTATATAATAACTAAAATGTCACCTTGAACTGTAAATGAATTATACGTGGGAAAAATGGACTCATTCTAGACAATAAATTCGTCTTACCTGATACAAGGAACAATAATAGTATGAAATATATTCCAAATCCAGAAATACTAGAAATTTTGATAAACATCTTGCTTATTCAGTTACATATTCAAAAATATGTACTAAGTCTATGACACATCAACACACCTATAGGTTTTCATAGTGAATAAGGGGCTAATATATTAGTTGATCATTGCTTTCATGAACAATAATCTATTCATACAGTAGGATTTAGTCACACATACATACAATAAGCTGTCTATTGAATAGTGACATGACTGTTTAATTTGAATGAAATGAAAAATTCATAAAGAACATGCAATGAAGCGACAGATCGATTCAAAAACATATCTAAAGTGGAACTCTTTGCATTCAAATTCGCCAAATCACTTTCGTTGAGATGGTCGATCAAAAATATTAACCAGGAAAGCAAGTTACCAGGTTACATAGGTACAGGGTAACAAGCGATTCGTATAAGTTTGACTTTATTGTCACCTTGATTCTATGGAATTTTACCATATGAACATATTTATCTCTTCGTGCGAATCATATTTGGTCGTTATTTAACTACAGTTGGCAATTATTTTAGAATGAAAAACATAAAAGTGTTTAATGCCCAAACTTTTTTTTATTGAATGCAGTGTATTCTCGTAATTGTAAACTAGTTTCCCACTGAGGAACCATCACTTTGTTGTCTGATTTAGAATTTTAAGGGTATTTTACCTCCCTTCGCACAAGTAATTGAACTTATGTCTTTATGCATATAAATCCCATCGAATAGGTAAATAAATTTGTAGGATCATGGAGCAGAAAGGCTGGTTCTGAAAGTTCGGACAATTACCCCCACCCTCCCTGTAAATACTCAAAAAACAAACTTACGCCTTCCCTTTACACGACCACTGGTTGTTCTACAAATCGTACACATTGGGAAACAATGGGGAAAATTGACTTGACCATTCTAAGATTGATATAGGATTTCAAGAAATGTTTGCATTTGGTTGATCGTCAACCTCGTATCTGTTGTCATCGACGTCGCCGATATATGCCAATATTGGCACTTACATGACATTGTACTACAATTTATCAACAGAAGATAATATGATATTTTGATGGTGCTGAATTGCAGCAACCTGTCATCTTCTACGTTAATGATCACTTGAAATCGAAAAGGCTAAAGACAGTTTTCTCCATATAGATTAACAAAATTGTTCCAATTCAAACTGCTTATCAGGCCAACAAGAGTTGTAGTATTCCATTTACTTTACTAGACGTATTATAAGGTGATCTAATGGGAAAATAAATGAGCGTAACCATGTGAAAATAGGTAAACAGAAATCCCATTTATGTCTTGATAGCTTGTTCTTATTTATATTAGGCTAGCGTGTTGTTGAAGTAGGCTTAAATAACCAGACCCTTCGGGTCAGGGGTTGAAATTTAAGTAGTTTAAAGCCCTGTCAAGTGACTAGATAACTTTGACATCAAACCAAAAACAAACACGGCTTTCAACAAAGATTAGTACTATGAAACCCGAGCATTGCGACCATCAATACATACTGTAATGAAGACTTTTGTTAGTCATTGGAACACAATTTGCTTTTAAAACGGAGAATGGAAATGACCAAGAGCAATGTTGCGTTTGTCAGTTCTGAATGGATCTCCTTACAAATGTTACCAAAATTTGTGTGAACATTGTCACAGTTTAAAGTTTTAAGAAACGATGTCCTGATGTATACTGCCCTTCAGTTAAGAGGTCTGGTATGGTATTTCCTTATTTTTCAGTGCCAAATTAATCAAACTATTTGATTAATTGGTGTTTCTTATGAATTATCATGTATCCTTATCATATCATTATTTTCTTATTGCATATAATTAAAGAGTTTTAACCATTCATAAATGTCCATGTATGTACAGTCTTGATTAACAAAAAAGACTTTTTGAGATTTCTTGATCAGTCACTCATTGGAATTCTCTTCTAATTTAGCTAATTATGAATTAATTATGGACATCAAGTCATTAGAACTACTTTCTATTCATATAAGTATTAGCATTTTCATTTTCCTAAATGAAAATAAGGGAACCCATCTTTTACTATTATGCATCCAAGTCCGACCAATTCTGGTCCTCATTATATCATCATCCGCATACCACTTACGATTGTTCAGGATATATGCATACAAGGTATGACATCTCAGTGAGAGTAAAATCCTGTGATTTTGTGTCCAATGCATTTTACTTCAAATTCCATTCTCTACAAATTACCAATGATAAGGTTAGTAAACCAATGTACGTTCCGCAATCGATACATTCATCTGGTTGTAATTATACCAGAGTTTATTAGGAAATGCCAATAAATCATAAGTAATGATACGTATTCATGAAAACTTCAAGAGCAACATCTACCAAATTATTACTTCTTATACCCTCAAATAGCGCGTGGTATATAAGTCATGTGATTCTCTCGTTAGTTTGCTAGACGCACGCGGTGCATATTCTGTATATTGGATATTATGAACATTTCGAAACACGAGAGGAACGGGCGTTGGCCGCGCGTGCACCTCACGAGGTAAAGGAAAGGTCGATATCAGGTAAGTTATCAAAAATTCAAATTCCATTCAATTTTACAACAAACAGTAGAAAATCGATATTGGCGTCATTTTGTTTTCATATAAGTTTAGAAGATATAGATGAAAGGCCCGGTAGATGTTTACTATATATAGCTTGCCGGTTTAGTTTGTTTGGTTCCTATTTCCCTGACAGTATACTATTCTTCAATTTCTATTACAATCAAAATACGTTGCCATGGCAATAGAAATAGCTTTCTTAAATCCCGTGGTTTATTTTAAATATGTGGATAAAGTTAAAACTAATGTTGGTAATGACTTTTTTGATTTAACGACGTTCATTTTATATTGGACTGGCTAATTAATCTCTCATACGTTCAGATGACCTAAATGGCCATTAGTGCCATAAATTTAGGCCGGTGTCAGGTAGTGTAAACAAATTCATCCCATCAGTAAACCATACATTTATCTCTTTTATGAAGTGCACTGAAGGTAGATAGTTGAATACAATAAAGTTGGGGTAGCTGGCAGATTCAGATAAGATAAAATACAAAATTTACACCATAGCGACAAGAAGCGATAAAGAAGTATGGCAAATTTTGACATTGACATTCTTGTATTGTTCTATGTTACTGGCTCAGCGTCTAAACCGTTTGTGCTGTAACCAACGATATGGGTGGAATGCTTACTAGCATGGATAAAATATTGCTTAGAAGATGCTTTGTGTGTGAAATACCATCTGATGTTTCTATTCTCTTAGTAATAATAATAATGTAAAAGCCGGTAATTCAGGGAGATTGATAACATAATGACAATATTTCTGTTATTCAACGGTATTTGTAAATATTATCATTAATTCGTAACATTACTTAGTGTTTATTTATTTCCATTATAACTGGATGAGTGGATCAAAAGTAGTTATGGTCTCCACAATCTACACTGTTATTGACTGGCGCTGCAAATAGGTTTTCTAACTTTTAGGGTGTATTGAAATCGATGCTTTAAAAGCACTTAAAAGCATCGATTTGTAGTTTCAGTTTACAGGCAGACACCTTAAACTAAAACAGCAAAAAAAGCCAGAAAACTTCTTTACAGACACTTTAAACTGTCGAGCTGAAAGATTCAAATACAATATTTTGAAACAAGTATGAGAGATCCCATGAGATGGAAGCTTTTGATATGTTGTTTATCCTAGTTCTTATTACCAAATAAGCACAATGTGAGGTCAGTCATAAGAAGAGCAATGAGTGAAAATGATGTAGCTGGATTTGATTTGAATCACAAGCCGCTTTTTCAATATCAACCGACTATGCTGATTGGATTAAATACCTGTCGACCCCAGAAATAAAGACTAGTTTGATTGCCTGTGCTCCAAAGACATTATGAAAACCATGATACCTGTTGTCAAAGGATTAATGATACAAAAGCTACTTGAAGATACAAGGTGACTGTAGCAACATAGCGACATGCTTCCAACTTTTAACCAGACGAACGTCCTGGCATTGATCTTTCCCGAATAAATCGTACCTATTTTAGGTAAGTCGGCTAGAATATGAGTGAAGATTACGTCTTCAGGGTCACCAGACTTTCACACACCATTTGTTGGAAGTAATCAAACAATGACATCATGTTAAGAATCAACTCTCTGACTGACTGAACTACAGAACTCCATAACATGCTTAAAGATACAATATAGAACAAATTGTTATATGTAAAGGGTAAGGACGAAATAAAATTTGTTATTAATACCGTAAACCAAATGGGCCAACATGTTTCTATATATAATTATTGAATGTTACATCAATTAACAGAGAGTAATTAACAATCTAACGGTATCCATTATCATTAATTATCATTATTAACATTGCAGTATTCTGTATATTATAATATGGTCCCCTTTTCATTAGTAACTATTATTTGGTTGAAAATGCCCGGAAAATCTGTCATTTGCAGCCAAGTTTTAAAGATAATTTGCAATTTTGCGCTTTATTTTGGTCGAAATGATATACTTTCCTGATATAAATATGTGAATATCGCACATAGTTGTTAGTAAAAACTACCAGCATAATCTTTTTGTCATGAACCAATGAATTCTAAACATACTAAATGAACGGTATTTTGTTGATGTTTATAATTGATTTGGGTGTACTGTGGGATTTTTTATCATTAGAGATGTTGTAAAACGTGTTTGTAAGTCTATGATATGACATGGTATATTGTTATAATTGATGATGCTGATTATAGACTTTTTATACGAAAATATACAAAACAAGTATAATCAACACCAGATATTTGCTCTTTCATTATACAGTCCTAACTTTTACTACCACTTGGCAGCCATTACAGCCAAAACTGGAATGTGATGGTTCATTACTCTTTGACATATATGATACAAATTTATATTGCACATTGTCACCAATTGATAATACCCTACTAAGAAGGTACTATAACTTGACCAGTTCTTGGCACCCTGGTATTAGATTTCATGTTCTAAATTTAGTACAGAGCCCTTTTTCACTGGTTTCAATTTGTTTCTCTTGAGCAAAACTCTGTTTCATTTCTTTTAAAAGAAGATAGTCATAACATTTTAGAAATCAGAATCCTATAAATCAGGAATATTAACACACAAATCTGATCACTTTTGAAACACAATTTCTATATTTGATAAAATTTTACAATTTTTACAAAAGCTGCAAAGTTTTAGCATTCAGATAAATAGAGGTGTTCTTCAAAATTATACTAAATAATAATTCTAGCGCATACAATTTCAATTTACTGAATTGTTTAAATTTGTGTATTGTGATTGATTTCCGATAATTTGACAGTACCCGGTAATATTTTTATGATAATGTTCGTATAGGAAATGCATCCAAATGTCCAAATCTGTGTTCATAAAATTAACAGTATAAAATAGGGTTTCCCAAGTAAATGAGCTAAATTGCCACTTTTCATGTGTGAAATTGCAAAAAGATCCATAGATGGTCGATGGGTCCCCCAGAAGGTGAAGGGTATAGGGTGTTTTTAATGGCTAACAACATTACAGTAAAATACATTTAGACAGAAACAGCAACTCATTGTGGAACATACACGCATACCGAGTAAATCAAACGTCGCAGCACAGGGTCTGTAGCCCGATTAAGCGGCTGCAATGAAGTCAGGGTTTTTTGTTATTTTCCTTTTATTTTCACTGTTTGCTCATATTTTTTTTCAAAGTCTGTCATGTGCCAATTTGCAAGTGCTGATGCCCCACCAATTTTTTCAATAAAAGATACAAAAGAAACCAATGAGTTTATAGAATGGTTCCAAAAACAGTTGAATGAAGGATGTGTATGTATGTAATATGATACTGGTCAAACATAACAACAGAACTAAATTTTGAATCTTTAATTGGGCAGATTTATTGTGGTGTTAAGACCTGATGACATATTGATTACAGTAGACATACCAACTAATTATAATCACTGGACCATGGGCAGTACAGAATACTCTTTTTTGGTAGTAAAAGTTAGGACTGTACAGTAGTTCTTCTGGAAAATTGCTTTCCTCCAATTGGCATAATATAACTAAAATAATGTAATGAACAAGGCAGATTTTAAAGAGAAACTTTGAGTACTTGAAAAACATGTAATTAGTGTTGATTGACTTTAGAGTAAATATGCCCTGCTAATGAAACCAATCAAGATTCTCAGTGGCAGTGGATGTAAATTAGACTTGTCAGTCAATCTGTTGACGTCAATTGAATTACGACCAGTGGTTCCCAGAAATCTCAGTCTGATTTTAGCTTCTTAATTGAGCTATGAGTATGAAGTGGAATATTTATTCCAATGTTGTTTATTTATTAAGACTAGATATTAACCTTACTCCAATAATAATACCCCCTCTATATCTCCAGTCTTTAGGTCTGGCAGTAGGTTATTGGCATCCAGTCAGCTTATTCATATATTCTTATTGGTTTTGGCAGGAATTGTATTTAATCATCTATAGTGGTAGTAGATCTTACTACGGAACTGGCATAACTCATTAATTGTGGTAAAAGGACAGACTTGTTTACAGCATGCAATGTTATCTTAATTACGCACATCGGTGTCGCTCTAGACCTGTTTAGATGGATAATTTGGTATTTTGATATTTAAAAGATCCCTTATTGCTTGTAATGGCAATTTCTTTCACTTAAAAAAATAAAAAAGCGTATATTCAAATGGATTTTTCAACATCGTCTTAAGAAACTTCATCGACCGAAGACTTAATAAGTTGTCACAAATCATAAATTCATCCATGAACATAATGGGTATAATTGGATAATATAACGTAAAAAAAGTCACATGAATAGAGAATGGAGACACTCGATAAAGAGATCTAAAGATTTGTCAAACTATGGAGTTTGTTTATATCTTGTAAAGTTTGTTAAAATTGTTGAAATCTGGTCTCAGTTACATTCTTCTCTATTGTTTCTTTTCTAGTCTCTACACATTGTGTTGATCAACAACATCTCACACGGTGGCCAGTGTATTGACGTGGGTCGAATGTTCTGAGAGTACAATATTAAGTACAGACAGGGAGATGTTCAGGCAAGACAGGTCGACAAGAAAGGATATTTAAGTGGTAAGTGATTGGATTATTGTTGTATTAGTGTAAAGAAACAGGTAAATAATGATCTTTATTTTATAGTTAACTTGTTGTAACCTCGTCAATGTTTTCACTGAATCAAAAATAATTTGGTGGTATTAGAGCTACGACGAACATTGATTTTAAAGTTATATTTTACTGTTTCTCCTTCAATAGCTAATCTGATCCTTTCCGGTGTATCAAAATTTGCGTACGAGAGATGAATGATGTGAGTAGCATAATGACAGTTTGCTTTATGGAAATAGAAGTATTTTGCAAGATACGCTTTTGTGGGCGGATATAGAGGCATTGGTACTAAGGTAGTTAAGTATTGCAACTACCAAAGTTTGAAGTGAAATTAGAAAAATTGTCAAACCTGCTTTTATATGTGACTACCAAGTTCTAAAGTTCGTTTTAATTACTTTTATCTGCATTTAATTCCATTACTAACATCTAATTATGTTCTTAATTCCTAAAATATTGTATAAATCTGTTCGTAAATGCATTCAAACATATTTTAAGAGAAGTTGCTACCAGTAGCATTACTTTGTGATTAATGCTAGTGTATTTTCCCTTGCATCTCTGTCATGGCGATTTAAAGCTATCAATATCCAGTTTTGTACTCCTATGGTGACATCTTAACCCAGAACGAATTAGCCAGACTTTACACTACTTGTATATTGATATATCGTATCGAAAGTTGCCATAAATATCTTTCAGCTTTTTAACGTGTTGTTGCTAGTTTGGTCAAATAATAAAATCACACTCTAAACAGTTTGTTTGTTAACTTGTTGCTTATTCGTAATAGCCTGGATGCTATCATACCACAATTCATGCTATTAATTCAAATGAAATAGAAAATATTCTGAGATCTGAAGACAATGTTTTATCTTGATGATTGATCAGATTGTTACTATAAATAACCTCTCTGGAATCCAGACTATGTAGTAGTGCCAATTATGCCAAACTGTTACTATTTATAACTCAGAATAGCAGAACATTATTTATTATAACGATTTATGCAATAACACACCGCTACATAATTACATAATAATATATTACATTAACATATTACCATATTCATATAACATAATTAATTAAATACCACATTCATACATATTTATATGCAACTCCTCTTGCTATTAACCATTTTAGAATACGATTCAACCTTCCTCTTCCAATGTACAGGCCATTATGAGTAAATTTGAAGGCCTAATATGGTTAATACACCGTTGTTACTCATTATTCCAGGATCCCTTATGCTACTATTCGACATGGTACCTCAACTCTAAACTACTTAACAGCTAATCTATAGGAACATTTTAAAATTTGATACTAATAACACAAAAACATGCACATTACCAACAATAAGAATGTTATTACATATGCTGCTAGTTTAGACAGAACGTACGATATACAATGTATAGATAAAGATAGGTATGTGACAAACGTTATGAAAATGTTATTAGATTTTTTTTACATACAAGATTAGCCAAAGAAGATAAAATGAAACAATAACACTTTGTTTGATTACACATCCTACACGACTGTTGTTATGTCCACTTCTACATGTGACAAATTAAGTAGAAATGTAGAATTATAGTGAAGATTTAAAACTTAGGTTTTCGTGGGTGTAAGACATCACTAAGTTTTGATTGGCAATTGTCTGTGCTGATAAAATATTGCCCTATCTTACATTTTCCTCGTTGGACTCTAACGCCTAGATAATAGTAGCAGTAGAATAGAATTCTTAGTTAATTGCTTTTTGATTACTGTTTTAATCTTTAACATTCTACAACACGAGTAATGACCATTGTTATTGATTGATATTTTAATCATTGATTTAATTTATAATATAATTGAAGATGATTGTAATGTGCTTTAAGTTTGAAACCAGATCAAATTCAAATTCTCGCTTTTCTGCACTTATTCGAAATACTAGGAGCTTCTGTCGAGGTATCACAACCCAGAATATAACTAAATCCTACTTGTACTTTCAGTGGGTCACACCCCCCTGGACCGAATAGGTCTAGTATTCGATGGTTTCTAGTAGCATACTACCACAACCAATTTTTGATGCACAGATTCTAGCATCTTGCATCAAATACAAGAATATTGACAAATAACGTATGGTATAATAATGCACATGGTTTTTAATTACAAAGCACTAGAACATAGAAATAATTTACAAACTAATAATAAAACAATTAGCACAATAACAAGTCTTACTCCAGTACATTATAACCAACAAATAGCACTATAGTATAAATTAAATGTCTATAAATAATTGATCTTCACCATCAGACTCTTCTCCTCTGGTACTAGGCACATTAGATGAGGTATCACTTGGTATACTGGATACAGAATAACTACTGGTATCTTCAGTAATAGAGTCTTCTTTCTCAATAAGGCTAACAGAGGTACTGGATCCAATGGTGGTATCATTTAATGACTCGAAATGGCGAAGATCATATTCTGTAAATGAACTTGATGATAGTTTTCTAGCTGCTTCCGTTAACATGTTGATACCTTGAAGGTTTAGTTTGGATATCGGTGAAGTAGTCGGGGTACTTGTGACTTGCTGGTGAACCATAAATTGATGCGCAGTTGGTATTGGTGAATTAACAGCTCCATGTGGTAATGGGGAATATGCATATACAGCGTGTGGCATAACAGGGAAACCTGAACAATTGAAATCAATTATTAATAGGTAAAGAAATAGAAACCCCCGAAGTGACACCCTTTTGCACATGTATATTTATTTCTATTGTGTTAGATGGATAAGGAGATGTAACTTACCATAAGAAGGCATATTATAATAATTCAGCTGTGGAACGATCGGCATATGATAACCAGTATTATGGTATGGATACGGATGATTGTAAACGATGCTATGTGGTTGTTGTAAAGCCTTGTGGTATGAAAAGTGTCCCAGTTCTCCCTTTATTTGGGATTCCGGAGAGACGATAGAAGTATCTCTTGATCTTTGTTTATTTCTTCTTCCTCTAGATCGGCGGTTTTGAAACCAAACCTGAATTCTCGATTCGGCTACGCCTAGCTGTTGAGCCAAGGTTTCTCTTAGATTGATATCAGGATATCGGTTTACCATGAAAACCCCCTCCAATCTGTCAATTGCGTTTTCACTAAAGGCTGTTCTTCCCCGTCTTGATCTTGGCTTGGGTGCAATTGAAGGACATTCCGTTTTCTTATCGAGTGAATCTAAAATGAAACAAATATAAGTTTTTAAAAATAAGTCTTCACTATACCCCTTAGCTTTTCATGGGCGACAATAGAATGGAAAGCCTAATAGATGCATTCCAATATAAGGTAAGCTTGGTGAAAAAAAGATATCAGTAGATTTCACTTACCATTGGACAATCCCAAGATAGCATTAATAGTGAATTTACTCATGATGATGAAGAACTTTGCTCAGATAGTATCAAATGCCAGACTGAATGACTTGAAGAAATGAGGTGATATGTGTTCACCCTGATTCACCGCTATTTTATACCCCAGGAAAATACAGTCCCTAATCCATTACCTGATTCCTTTAATCTCAACTAATCCTAATCAATCTAACAAAGCATTATATTGGTGAGTAATTCCTATCATTTCTTAATAGCAGATAAAATAATCTTTAACAATTTAACAACAAAATGTTGTTACTGTCAAATTAAATCTGTTATTATTTAAATGAAGCAATGATAAACAATATGATTATAATCTTCATAATATTATTTCAACTCAATGACTTCCTAATCTAAAATTGATTACATATTTATAGTTATAGAAGTGACACGTTTCTATTTAGAGGTTCTCCTGATCCTTAGGAAATTATTCTGTATTTTTAGTCCATTTCTTATTTTTTAACACATACTTTGTTTTTGTTCTTGAGTGATATTTGTTGAAGTAATATAGTTTGAACTAGATGTGTTTCAAATGGAATGACGTTGCGTGTTCAATTTTTCTATGATTGAGATGAATAAGAAGGGCACTCCACAACAGTAATGACAGAGCTTTGATTATCAACTTTCCATGGATCGTTTTACTATTATTTTATTGAAATCGTGTGGATGATCCGATCCGACCATGGTTCGATATTTCCGGGGGTTAAATATATTTAGATATGGCGTAATATCTTTAAAGTATGAATGATTCGGAGTCGTCATTTTATCTTTCAAACGCAGATAATTCTGTTCACACACGGATTTGAAGGCCCAAATTTCGACGTTGAGCCCAGAACATTATTACCGAACAACTAGAAATTTCCGTTTCTATGACTAAGATACGATTCGTCAAACGGATGTCGAATGTGTGCAACTAAATTGATGTTTACAGTGATGAAGCACAGTGTTCAGATCTATTAGTTTACGCTCACATGCCATCAACCTTGAGCTATTCCTCATAATCCGGATAATCGATCGTGACTAGCACACCTGTAGGACTAGCATGATATGAAAGT